TCCAGCAAGTGGCTCGCAATTTTTTCTCGAATATTACCTTTTAATTGTCTTTTACGTTTGTGTACTACTTCCTGACAAAAACCATTGAGTGTGCATTCATAAATAACGTCACAGTTTTTTTGCGGTTTTGTATATAGATGTCCTACAAGTTTAGCACCACACTCATTGCATTCACCCTGAATAACTGAATAATATTTAGATTCAGCATTTAAAAAAACCTTAGCTCGTTTAAATACGAATCCGCACGGGATTTTAGTCTGCTGCCAAATCTTTTCAGGAAACACGTGTGTCCATTTGTTAGATTTTAGTATTGTATATGTACGCGATCGATATATTTTTAATTTAGGCTTGATTTTATTCCACTGGTCTGGTGAAATGACGAGTTGAAATTTCTGATTACATTTTTCCATTCATATTTTTCTAATACATTCTACGTCATACTCTCTATTCCTAAAACCCTTAAAAACCATACCTTTGCCAATTTCCATTTTGGTGTCCCGTTACTCCCAAACTAGGTTTTCCCGCTTTTCAACCCCTACTTTACACCACTTCTATTAATGTAAAAAGACGAACCTTTCCTAAGTAAAAGTTAGTAGTAATCTGGACATTGTACACGACACCCCTCTCGTGAAATATGTATACTCTTTGCACAACCTGAACGACGGTTTCTTTATTGAAGAAACCCAACAATACTTCCTAGAACCCACAACAAATATAAATTCGTTGATCAACGATCACCGAGTCGGATCATAACAATACAAAAAATACAACTATATTGTAAAATAAAAACATAAAATATGTCTAGTGCAAAACTGTGAACATGCATACTTTGTAAAAACTATTTCATACAGTGAGACGTGTGCCTTGCTACAGAGTTCATTGTTTTCCATCTGTCAAAAAACCATATCGAACTCGTGGTCTGACTAGGGTAGGCAACCCAGTACCCGAACACCTGCCTATAGTTGAACACATTTGTAATTTTTTGATGATTATAAAAAAAATATTATTTTTATCTATATTGTTATAATTTTAGTAGCAAGAAAAAAAATTTTTTGATTTAATTAATACATATTTTTAATAAAAAAAGTATTTTAAATATGTAAAAAATTATTTTTTAATAGCCTGCTGCGCCACCAAGCGTTCAGTTCTAGCTAGCTTATAAGCGGCATGTTTTCCTCACATGATGAAAAATGTTGAAAAGAATAAACGATTTTTGTTTTCCAAGGTAAGTTATGGGTTAAATTATTCGCAACAAAATCTTCTTTTATTTAAAAGAAAAGTTGAGATACAAAATAAAAAAATATAATGAAAAAAACGTGTGCATCTTTTGATCTGAGATTTCTAACCTCAAACCTATACATGAACAGCATGGTGTAAAGAAGTAAGGTGAGACCATGCGCATAAAAAGTGGTCTCACCAATCAGAAGCGAGTGGGCAGGGTGACGTTGTTACGTCCGACGCAACGCAACCCCATTGCCCCCCCTCCCCTTCAGCACCCCCTCAGAACCCCACTAGCAATGGTCAGAGACCACGATAGATGTAACCGATCCTCAGCGAACATGCGTTAATTATTGTAAATCGTAGTTTACCTATATATATATTAATTAAGGGATATCATCATATTATATTATACTGTACACGACATCTCATATTTTCACACATTTTCAGAAATCACACCAACATTGTGACATTGCAGGTGGATGAGTAGAGAGAGAGAGATCACTGCAATCAAAGAATAAGAACGGCACGGGCAGCAATGCTGAATAGGATACTCAGAATTGAGGTGCCTAAAGAGCATTTTCACCATAGCACCGCGAATACCGCGCACAGCAGAACTCCTACCCGTCACCTTCGC